AAGTAAATAGATTTATAATTATTCTAGTATTATAGTTTATTAAAAGAAAAGTATTTATTGTTATACTAACTAAATAAATAATTATTAATGAAATTAGGATAGTAAATATTAAATCAATTATTCTTTTTTTATTCAATTTGTTTTATAAAGGTTAATAGATTTGTTTCTAATATTAGAATAAATATATAAATGCAAAGTTTTGTAATTAAATATTGATAAGTAATAAGTATTTGAATATATTCAAACTCGATAGTATCTATATTTTGATTAAAAACTATAATATTCTAAATAAACTCTTCAGGATTTTTATATTAATGTATATCTCTAATAATATACTTAAGCTTTTCTAACTTCTTAAATATTATATCTAATAATATAATAAAAATATATTTCCAATTTAATATATCAATTCTCAATATTAGTTTTTAATTTCCAATTATAGTGTATTGAATATTTCATTAGTGTATCAAAAACTATACCTTTGTATATAGATATTAATCAAGCTAGGAGTAAGAAGGGTAAATAACAAATAATTCCTAAGAATATCTAACGATTTAGTTTTTATATAATAATAATGAGAATATATTATAAAAAACTAAAAGTTATTCATTATTGTAATCAATATATTTAATTTTATTTATTTTAGATCAAAATAATCTAGATCTTTAAGAATGGAAATGTGAAATAATTATAATAAGGATTCTATTATATAAAAGCTTGGATTGCTTATAGTTAACTATTGAACTTGTTTTATAAAAAAGATGATAGCTAAAGATTCTATTTTATTTGATAAAAAACTAGTAATGATGAGTTAGTAATAGATAGAGTATATTAAAAAGGATATATCAGATATTAGAAAATAATAATCTTACCTTACAATTTATAATATAAATAAAATATTAATAATATCTTAAATTATTTTAATTATTTGATTATAATTATTAAATTAATTAATAAATATATTAAATATTTATTAAAAATTATTTAATAAAAAAAAGGGATTGCTTAATAAAGATTTATATAAAAAAATAAATATTATTTAATTATTTATATTTAAATTAAGTAAAATTCAAGTAATAATATTTTATTATTAAACTAATAATTTATTTTGAATTCTAGAATATTTGATAAAAAAAGAATTAAGTAATCTTGCTTTTGATATAATTTCTTAAAAAATTATATCAAATTAAGCTTTTAATTTGATAATAAAATTATTTTATATTATTATTCAAGAATATAATATTCTATTAAAATATATTTAAATTCATAATAATATTTAGATATAATAAATAAAATGTTTTTTTATAATTTAAAAGAAGTATAACAAAAGATTTGATTATAGAATATACAATATAATAAAAAAAATGATTTAGTATAATAATTAATAATTTGTTTTGATATTCAAAATAGGATTTGCTATTATTTATAAGATTTGTATATGGATTAAAAAATGATTATTTAGAATAGTGCCAAGGACTAAGATATTGGCACTAACTTAGCTAATCTGAGCTAGACTAATTTAGTACATACACGTGATTAAAAGTATAACATAATCCCATCCAAAAGGACCTCATGAATAACCAATCAAATCGCTCAGCCATACTAAAGTAAGCCCCTTCGCCAAGCTCTCATCGTCAATTTCAGCACTCTCATCCTATCAAATTTGTGTTTGTGCCACACGTTTTTATAATGCTACACCAATAAGGAGAGACATGGAGATCTGCAACAAAGAAGACCCTCGGGAAATTCCCATTCCATCCTGAGACTGCGGGATAGATCTTTCGTCATCTGCCCAGTATGTCTCACTCTGAGGAGTCTATCAGATGTATAGATAGTGAGGGTATTGAAGTGTGGAAGTGCTGTATGGTGGATTAGATGGGAAGTAGTAGAGTATTGTGTCCAGACTTGTCAAAGACGAAGAATCATGCTATATGTCATTCAGATCCAACCAGAAAGTTTTGATTTCTCTACACAGTCACCTCATCTCTCCCTCAAAAATAGAAATACAGACTCTTTTCATACCACTTTAAAATAAATCCCATACAAGTCATCAATTACACTATGAAACAAATTCAATTCTATTTTCACTCTATAGAACGTGATTGCCTCTCACAGCCTATTATTAATATCTCACCATTCCAGCACATCCACCTAGTTTCAAAATGTTTCTCCCCATCCTCTACTCTGCTTACTTGGTGGGTTACACACACTGTCTTGAAATAACAGATACATCAATACTAAAGTAAAATAAGAAAATTGCACAGCTATTGTTGTCAGAGCATGGGGATAGCAATATCGATAAATAGATTTTGCACTGTAGTTCAAAATTTGTAGTAAGTGGATAGAAAAGATAATTTCTCTGGCTGTGGTGGATATTTTTGGTCTTTGAGTCGCGTCGCATCACATTTTTGCATCAGCGAAATTATTCTATTAGACTGTCGAAAATGGAAAAACTAGGCTCTTGAACTATTTATATCTCGTCTCGCGAGTGTTAGCTTCGTATCTAGCTATCTAGAAACTGAGAACCAGCTGCTAAAGCGCTGGATGTAGATTTTGTGGTGTGGCTTCTTTAAACACTTAGGTACTTGGGTGCTATCGAACCTTCATCCATCATCGAGCTTGAGTTGCATGCCCAGTCTAGCATGAACCACGGTATCCTTCAATTCCAAGATAGATCATACAAGACATTAATAAAGCTAGTAAGCTAACTGATTAATATTCATCGATATGACCAGCTATTACCGATCATACATAGCTGGTTCTTCTAGTCGCGCAGTGAAATCTCTTCTCCTCCTATCAATTTCGAGTCCGTGGATCTAATCTAATCCCATCCCTTCACTTCATGAATGTAGAATAATAAGCAGTAAAGATTTCATCTCAGTATACACGATTATATGATGCAGAAGTTTCTTTCACCTTTTAGACAATCATAGACTGGTCGCTCATCTACCTCCGCTAAACCGCTTTCCAGTAATCTATACTTATCTATTCACTAGTTCGACATAGGAGATCATGATGTGTTCTTCTTTTTGTCAATATCCTCTCTAGACTCTTCAAGAATTTCCGAAAGAAGAATTCCGTATCATGGTAGTGAAATGTCTACACATCTCCCCAATCTAGGTAACAAGCTTAGTATGTTAAACACCACACAATACTCAAAGATCAAGTCAGAAGAAAGAATTGAAAGATAGAAGTATAATTTCTGTTCCATAACAGCCACTTGATCCAAAGCCCAGATGAAGACCATTTCCACTGGAATCTGAAATAGTGTAATTAGCAAACACTCATACCTTATCACTATCCTATGTCCATTCCAAGCTCTGCAAGCTTCAAACCCCATCTTCAAGTAAGTAAAACACCTTGAAACCGCCCAAAATACCATAGAAATTATTTTCTCTCTTCAACCCCCTTCCCAAGCAAACACCCAAAGAAACCTTCAAATAGTACCCCAGCACTGACCCACAAGTCCAAAATTTCCCATCAAACCATCAACCCGCAAACCCAACCATATTTCCTCATGAATCACCCTACCCGTGTATCTCCCTTCCCCAGATTTCGCCTACCATGTACCGCTTCTTACTATGTACCCCGTCACACAACTACCGAGCAAATGAACAAGGATACCGGTACATCCATACCATACCCTACACGTTCCCCACATGATCCTCCTCTTACCTCTTCGAATCACATAGTGCTAAATTCTTGGCTCGGGGACTACATATGATATACCTATATACATATATACCTATATACATATACATGTAAATTTCGAATGATCGCGTGATGAAAATGACGAAAACCTTCTCAATTTTCACACACTCACTCACAAATTATTTCTTACTATCTAATATCTATGCCAATCTATCAATCTATCAATCCATCATTCAAACCAGACAATTTCCCCAGAAAACAGAAGCCCAAGCGCCAAGATACGGATCGATCTCAAGTCCAAGTCCAGTTCGACTTCCCTGCGTGCAGATCCGAGTCGTGCTTGTTTGTATGTTTGTGTATGGTAACACAACATGCAAGTAAGTCAATCCACCGATCTCCTCCCCATCCACATTTCCAATCTTAGCAAACCATGACAAATGCATTCATTCCATCCCATCCCATTTCATTACGCACCAGCTTGGCGAAGTCTCCACGATTACACTATATGTATGAGGAGTACACATATTCAGCGGCCGCGGCAGCGGCACGGGATGACTATTTCAATACACGCCATCTCGCCAACGATCACGTAATGCCGCGAGGTAAGGCGTCAACGGCTTAGAAGGTTCTTGAAAATTGATGTTCGTACAAGCAAGAATTTATCTATTTCGAGGCTGGCCATGTCCATGTCGATGTTTATGCATGAGTGTACTGTGTATTGTGTATGTCCGCGAGACATCGTATGTAATACCAACTCGTAAAAAGATCTTATAATATAATTCTGCAGGAAGATGAAGATTCATAATCGTTCATTACGTAAAATTGTAGGAGCTCCGAAACAGACGAATGAGCCTCAAAATATCATGTGTGGAAAGAAACGGAGATTTGACTGCGGAGTATGAATGATGGAACGAATGTAATATGTATTATGTATCGTCTAAATATGGACGGACAGCTTTGGAGATTCGTCTTGCCGATGGGAAGGCTCAGTGAGTGACAATTCACATCAAAACCAAACTCAAACTTAATAACATGACTTGGCAAATCAATACCCGACAACGCAAAGGTGATTTGCCTTGTAAGTACTCCAGCCCGGCTGAAGTGTGACCAACGACTTACGTTTGCCGGCTGAGGAAGTTAAAGGCAGAGTTTGACGAAGATGATGTGGATCGGACATGTTCCTCTGAGAGAAGTAACAGCTGAGTTCTAAATCAGTCGTCAGTCCGTAAGCTGGCTGGAGAGGCTTTGTCTATTGATAGATAGCTCAGTACTTATATCGAGCTAATCTTCATCTTTTTCCTTTTCAACAGCTTCGATCAACAGCTTCAATCATCACACTGCAATCTTCAAGCTTGAACAGACAATTCACTTGATACCAGCGTCATAAACCAAACACTTCTCTGCCTTCAACGCATTGACAAACACCATCGCCGAGATGCAACTCATTAACATCATCATCCTATCTCTCGGCCTCAGTGCCTCCGCCATTCCCGGTTTGTCCAGTCCATTCTCTCCTCCAAAACTACCGCTTACTAACAAATTTAGTTCCTGGCGACGACCACTCTGTCTCGCACGATGGCGGAAACAAGGGTGGCAAGAACGAAAATTACGGCAATCACGATACCTATGGGGGGCATGGCAAGAGCGATAATTATGGCAGCGATGGAAAATATGGTCATGAGAATGAACATGGCAATAACGGAAATCATGGTAGCAATGGAGGCAAGAAAGGTTCCGGCGGAGTATCTCACTCCTACAGAGATGACAAGTACGGCAATTATGCGTGGAATAAGGGATTCGGTGGAGACAACAAAGGTTATGGCGGAGACTATAACAATGGCGGCAAGAACGACGATCACGGCAATTCTCATGGTTATGGTGGAGTTTCTAACTCTTACGGAGATGATAAGAACGACAATTATGGATATGGAGGAGGATATGGAGGAGGATATGGAGGAGGTTCTATCCACAGAAGAGGCGGCAGAGATGACAAGCATGACGACCATGACAAATATGGCAAGGGTAACAAACATGATAATGGCAATCATGGTGGCGGAAAGCATGATAATGACAAGCACGACAATGATGGACATGACGATTACAAGCACGGTAGTGGAAAACGTGGCAACGACAAACATGGCAAAGGAAACAAACATGACGATGACAAGCACGACAACGACAAGCACGACAACGACAAGCACGACAATGGCAAACACGGAGGCGGAAAACATGACAATGATAAAAATGACGATTACAAGCACGGGAGTGAAAAACGCGATAACGACAAGCATGATGACAAGCACGACAATGACAAGCATGACGATGATAAGCATGATGGGGGAAAGCACGACGATAACAAACATGACGACAAGCACGACGACGATAAGCATGATGATAAGCATGACAACAAGCACGACAACAACAACAACTACGGATGGAACAAAGGCAAAAACAACAACGGATATTCCTCCTGGTAAAACCAGCACACGCCACCCCACTCCAAATCACCACGCACACCTCTCCTCCTGTCTTGAAAGATAAAGAAGAAAAGAAAAAAAAAAATCGACATAGAGAGACAGGGGGAGAGAGGAGAGAGGGAAAGGGAGAGGAGAGATAGGAGAGAGAGATGGTGCAGCTCCAGTATATCATGATATACATGCATGAAGAGATGGAGGAATTTTCCAACCTAACCCAACCCAATTGAATTTATCTTGATTTTTCATTCCCGCCACTATCACACACGATCATTTTCTCGTCCAATTTTCTCGTTCACTTTCATTTCATTTCGGCTCACTTCATTTCCATTTCATTCAAAAAAAGAATATTCCTTTCTCCAGCTGGGGATTCTGTATTCGGACTGTCCTTACCATACCTACCATACCTACCTACCTACCTAGTTTAACTTTTAGAAAGCATACATACATACCTACCTACAAGAAAATAAGAACTGGCTTTTCTTGATTCTTGAGGGATTTTCTACAGAATTGCATGAGATACCATGATAGCATGATAGCATATTTGTGAATTGAATACTTTAAGTGATTGCTCAAAAAATCCAAAATCCAAATCCCCCTTCTTTTCCTTTAAAAATAAAAAGGGATTTTGATTAAACAAACGAAAGAGCATTAGCATGAATCGGGAATCATCTCGGGCTCGGTGAGTTTTCTCTTAGATGGAACTACCTTGATTTGAGAATTCTGCCAAAGATTAGGCGAAGGGTTAGGGGGATGGATGTAGTGGATACCTGAGAGAGTATATGGTACCACCTATTCAAAGTAAAATGAAAGAAATTAATGAAACAAAAGATACGCAAGAATGATGAAAATATGTTCCCTATCAATCTGCACTAGCAGTAAAACGCTGTGTGTAAGGTATTCCATATCATAATCTCCAAGCCGTTTTAAAAAAGGATACTTTTAATTTCGTCTAATCATAAAATCTTGGATGTGAATTCTCATCCAGGTATGGGCTCAGGTATCATATCATCTCTCAATTCCCCCGCCTAACTCTCATAGTTCATTTTTCTATCTCCAATCACCCCCCACATCTCCTCCACAATATCCTTTTGCCCACTAGGCGCTCCTCTGATCGCCATATATTTCCTCCCATCAACCTCACAATTCCACTCCCCAGGATTACCACCAACCATAATGCCTCCCGCTTCAACCAAAATACACCACCCAGCTGCAACATCCCAAGCCCAACAACCTCCCTCCCAAAAAACATCTTGTTGCCCACTAGCCACATGTACCAAGTTTAAAGCTGCGCTTCCCAAACTCCTAAGCGAATGTACCATTGCGCCTCCATCTTCTTTTGCAGCAGATAATTTTCTAAAGACGTCGCATTTGAGATCGAAATTATGCCCTGAGCGATCAGAGCCCCATTCTGCGGCTACGAGACAGGTACTCAAATCTTTTAATGGTTCTGGCTCTTTTTTGAGTGGCAGGCTGAATTTCTCTCCATCCTTACGAGTTACAAATGAGCCGTGACCCTTGATTCCTGTGAAGAGGTCACCAGTGAAGGGGTTATATACAACTCCTACACTGGGAACTTTGTCGACAACGAAGCCAAGAGAGATACAGAATGCGGGGTATGCATGGACGAAGTTTGTTGTGCCATCAATGGGATCGCATATGAATGTTGGGGCGGAAGTGAGTTTGGTTTCTCCTTTGACGAATGTCTCCTCGCCAATGAAGGAATAGGTTGGGTAGGCGGCGGTGAGGCGGGTGGAGACCATTGCTTCGACTGCTTTGTCGGTTTCTGTTACAAGGTCGGCAGCTGTAAAGGGAAAGCTGTTAGAAGCGATTATGAAGTGATGAAAGGGGTGTGATGGTTATTCACTTACTGTTCATCTTGGTCCCGGAGCTCAAGTATGAAGGGGTTGCGGACATAATCATACGACCTGCTTCATGAGCAATGTCGATCAAGATATCGTGAATCTCTTGGAGGTTGACTGCGGCCATCTTGGAGATTTGCTAAAAGAATGTAGAATTGAGATTTGGTTAGGGGTTGAAAAGAATAAATTAGAGTAAATAATATTCAAAAGAAGAACGCTATTTGGATGTGATGTAAGGGGTTGGACAAATGGGCTCCAAAGTGGGGTCAGAGGGGCAGCTCGGAAGCTATCTTATCAGCACGTGGGAAGCTCTTGGAGCAGGAACTGGTGGGATTAAGTCAGGGACTATTCATATTCCCTTTGACCATAGCCCGCGCGGTATAAACAAGACAAGAGAAAGACAAGAGACAGGTTTGGATGAGGTTGTTTGCGGCTTCCACTGACTTAGATGTGATGATGCAGCACCGCAGCCCTTTCAAGATAGGGCCAGAAAATGTGTCTGCCAGTGGAGGTTCAAAAAAAAAAAACAGGTATATGTATATTAGTCCATGAAGCCTTTCATTCATCTAGAACAGAACTAAAAAATACCTAATCTAAGAATGCCAGGATTATACACAGCTTCAGTAAAGTCGAAGCACCCAAGAATGTCTTCCGGTTCTCTGGTCTCAGATCTTCATTGCTCAAGGGTGTAGAAGAGATTGTGGACAGATTTTGAAATAGGATGTGCATTCGTAAAGTTTCTTTTCTGTATAAGTACAGCCTGCCCTGGAGTATCGCAAAATCCATTCGCCCATTGTACCGTACCGCCATTCAGAAATCATAACCTCCATCCGTTGCCATCTTACATGTTCTCTCTAAACATTGACCTTCTCTCCGAATGATTATCATCATGCGCCTTATTTTTTGTGTCCATTGGTCTTGGACTAACACCCCTCAATTCGGATGGATCGTCGAAAGGGTTATTCACAGATTGTACACCCATCTCCTCATCATAACGTCTATCGAGCCCAGCTTTTGATCCTCCGACATATGGTTCCGGTTCGCGACTTAAGCTTCTGCCACGAGGAGGACTTGAGAATCCAGGTCCCGTACCCGACGTTCCCGCAGCTCCCGAGTGACCACCATGTAAACCAAGCTCTTGTTCCTCGAAATATCCTCCAGGTCCATATGCATCAGCTTCTGTTCCGACTCGGGCATCCCAAGCATCATCTGGATCCAGTGGACCGAAACCGCGATTTGCTGCACGACCGCGTACGTTGCTGCTTAGAGGTTCCTCATACGCTCCTCCGGCTGATCGATTATTGCGATTCTTTAATCCATTAACTTTATCCTTCACCCATCCGACCACTCCCCCTTGTCCCGACCCGGATCCTCCATATCGATCAGATCGGCCTTTGAATGGGTTGTAAGATGATAAGGATGGTTGTGGTAAGCCTAATCGTCGTGCGCGCAAATGTGTGTAAACAATCCAAGCAACCCCTCCGATGACAGCGACGATCAGAACTATGATGAAAAAGGCACCTACACCCGAAAAGTGTGCCATGATTGAAGGATTGAATGCTTGACCATATAAAGTAGGGTTATTGTTGGTGGGTGGATTGCGATAACTTTTATTGAATTATGGTGGAAAGGCAGAGAAGGTAGGTAGGTAGGTAGGTAGGTAGGTAGGTAGGTAGGTCGGTAATCAGGCCAACAAACACTTGGTGAGGCAGTGTTTCGTCAGTGCCTCGTCAGTGCCAAAGTGCCAAAATGATGATAAGGTCGAGAAGCACCAAATTCTTTTTTTATCATTTATCAAAACAAGCTTTTCAACAAGGAAGAAGCCTGTGAGTCTCAAACTTAAGTGTAACAACAAGAGAACTTTTGCAGATTTGAATTCAAGTTTGAAGTGAAGAGCATGTTGTGGTTTCTTTGATTTAATTGGTGTAGATAATGTGAGGTTGGTAGTTACACTTTCGAAATCACAATCAAAACTCAAAAACAACGTTTGGGGGTCACAGTGACAGCAGAAGTGGTTTCATCAATCTAGGCTTATGTTTTTCTGCTCACGTGATGGAATGCATCGTGACGTCTATTGCGTGTGAGGGTCTGTTAGGTAAGCAGAGTGGAGTGGATAGACTGAAGGGTGTGAAGAGTGAAGGAAAGACAAAAGACTCTTTTCTTGTCAGATCAGCCGAATTTTACCCCGCCAGAGTAATTAATTTACCTGCCAAATAGCAATCAATGCATCCACCATCCACCATCCACCATCCACCATCGATCCATTTATCAATTGAACACAGTGCCTGTGCTGGCTGAGGGGGAACGGAGAGGGGAACGGAGAGGGGAAAGAAGTCGATAACAATTCATAAATTTTGATCGATATACGCTGATGAAGGCAGGTACTATGTGATAGATATTGGGATTACATATAAAATTATCCAGGACTGTAAGAAGGTATTATTGACTATCCATCAATGCCTTCAATACCGATCAAAATGACCGATTTGATGAGAAAGCAACAAACACCACACCATTCGAAAAACTCATGACAAGAGTCAGTCCCTCCTATATCGATAAAATAGTCAAACACACCTATGCCCACTCGGTAGGTATCATCCCTAGTAAATAGACGAGGCAGACAAAGCAGACGAAGCAGACGAGTTAGACTTCTACTTCTTATATTAACTCGGATATATCACACTATGCCTTGGCTACAATCAGTAAGGAATCCCGATGCTACACTACAATACTGACGAGTCCTTTATACCTCTCTTGACTCTCGTCCGAAACTCTTTGTGTGCTTGTATCCACCAACAGTGAGACATCAGCTACGAATCTTGAATCTTGAATCTTGAATGTTCATTATCCAATATTTATTCCTTTATCAGGAATGTCATTCCACTTTCTTAATCTCATAATCTCAAAGATCAGATAAGACGGATCTACACATACGATGTGGAAAAAGGACGGATCCCATGTAAATTTTTAGTCGGCATAATGTGATATTTGATGCATTGCTGCAGATGATTTCCAAGCTTTTCCAGGGATTCAATTTTTTGCTTGTAACTTTTGCTGCATATCAATCAATCAAATTGCGAAATTAACATCAGATAAAAAAAAGAGGAAAATAGGTGTTAGAGTTTAGAAAGGTGGAAGAGG